ATCCCAAACACAACATAAAAGTGATAATATATTAAGGGTTGGTTTGGGAAGTGGGTTAACTTTTTGACTTTTTAACTATTTTAGCTGGGTGTTTTTTGACTTTTTTGGCTTTTTGTAAGAGAAAGGGTATAATAATTATGTGTTGAATGTGATATTTTATTTTATTGGTTTAAAAAGCTTATTTTGTCTTTTTGTGACTAAAATAGCCCCAAACCCAATCCAATCGAATCCAATCCATCTTCCCAAACGAAGCCTAAGTAATAATAGGCAAATAAATAAATAAATTATACAAAGTAAAATTTTTTACAAAAGTCTTTCTAGAATTGGTATCAAAACATCCATTAAAATAATTTATTATTATTTACTAAAAAAATGTTACTCTTCCAAATTGTTTTGGATTAGGATTCTCATAAATAATTATATCATATTTATTTATTTTTTTTAAAAATTAGACAGTTTATCTTAAAATTTTATCATGAAAAATCTGATAAAATTATATGATTATATTTATCAAATTTTATTATTTTCTTCATATATATTAGGGAGATTAAGCAATAAGTCCTATATTTTGGATTTGTAATCCATATAGTCCTATATTTTTTCTTATGATCCATTTAGTCCTTTTGGATGTCTAATGACTCATTTGTCTACCACATTAGAGTGTCACATTTGGCAAAAGTACACTAAATAGTTTTTTAGTGTTACATTATACCCACCACATTAGAGTGTTACATTTGTAAAAAATACATTAAAGAGTTTTTAATTTTTTTAAAGTGTCACATTATACCCGCTACATTAGAGTATCACTTGTCATGTTTGGAAAAAGTATACTAAGGAGTTTTTAATTTTTTGTAAAGTGTCACATCATACTCGCCACGTTATTACGTTTGAGAAAAGTACACTAAGGAGTTTTTAAATTTTTTTAGAGTGTTACATCATATACGCCATGTTGTCACGTTTGAGAAAAGTATATTAAGGAGTTTTTATTTTTTTTTAAAGTGTTACATCATACTCGCCACGTTGTCACATTTAGAAAAAGTACACTAAAGAATTTTTTATTTTTTTTTAGAGTGTCACATCATACCCGCCACATTGTCATATTTGGGAAAAGTACACTAAGAAGTTTTTTTTTTTTTTTTTTTTTTTTTTTTTTTTTTTTTTTTTTTGGGAAAAAAACACAAAAATTTTTTTTTTTTTTTTTTTTTTTTTTTACATCATCAAGAGAAAAAAAGAAAAAAAAAAAACATATTGGAGTATCACATAATACATGTCACATTAATAAAAGAGTATAGTTGTCAACCAAAACATTACCAAAATAAAAAATAAGACCACACGGAAAGAAACTATTCACTAATAGAACTTAACATATTAATAGGAAAAAACTTAGGACTAACGTGTTTGATTCACCGGATTAGGGGGGGACTATCCACTATTTAGATTGTAATCCAAATAGTACTCTTTATCCGCCGTTTGATTTTTTTTTTAGTCCGTTGGATTCCATGTCCGGTCGGACTCCTTATTCCCCATATGGGGGACTATTGTGTCCTAGGGGTATGAGATAGTTTTTGGGGGACTATCCACTGTTGAGATTAGGTAGTCAAAATGACTATTTTGATCCTCAACTATTTAATTATGTATTATATTTAATAAAATTCAATAAAATTTAAATGTCTCAATTTAAAAATAAAATAATTTTATTTAACTTTTTATTGATGTTTTATTTATTTAATTTTTTAGAATAAATTTTTTAAGATATTTTATTGATGTTTTTATTTTAAAATTTTGTTTATATTTTATTTAATTTCATTATTTAAATTTAATAGATGTTTTATTTAATTTCATTGTTTGATTATTATTATTTTTAAAGACAAATTTATTTAAAATTTTAATTAAAAAAAATAATATATATTTTTATTGATATTTTATTTATTTATTTATTTTTAAAAAAATAAATTTATTTAATTGTGTAAAAAATAAAATAAAATAAATTTTTATTTAATCTAGCTAAAAATAATTAAAATATTAAAGATATGTTTAATGTTGCTATTACTTTGTACACAATTGAAAAATGGCAAAATAGTCTTTTGTTCATTTATTATATCCAATCCGTCCAACCAAACGTTGGATTCACTAAAAATAGTTTTTTCCCGACATCTAATCTCATGAAAAAACAAACACAGGATACATATCCAATCTAACCAAATAGTCTGGGGGATTCACAGTCCCAAGACTCAAGTCTGATGGATTCTAATCCCCCCTTATCCAGTCCGTCCAATCAAACACACCCTAATTGGAATACTTGTTTGTGAGATGAGATTTATTGGTAAATATCCCTATATATTATAAGTAAAAACATAAAAAATAAATAATTCAAATCAAGTCATTAAAATAGGATAGGTGATGGAGCTCACAAACCCAATAACTAAGGGTTAGAATCGAAAAAGTGAAATGTTAGACGTTCCAAAATTTCTGCCAAATATTTTATCAAATGTTTTACACGGATGTGGATCGTACCACAAAAGTGTGGGATCCACCCCGTGTAAGACATTTGGTAAAAAATTTGCTAAAAATTTTGGTATTCCTAATATTACTCATCGAAAAATTATTGGTTGATTTTGAGGCGCTATGCAGCAATGATTCTTATCAATCACAAATTATTATACCTTCTCATATTCCCTAATCACCTAACACAAAATCATACCAATCATAATGCATATAGAGTGTCACATGGCGTTGTCTTTGGACCAATCAATAACTTCTCGTTAAAATCCCGTTGTTGTTTTTTTTCCTTTTTTTTTTTTAAACAAGTTATAATTATGATTAGTATATACACTATAGAGGAGGATTTCTATTTAGAATCGTTTAATTAATTTAGAGTTTTGTTTTTAATAATTTGAATTGTTTATTTAGTTGGACAATTTTTATATTTTATTCATATATAAAATTAAATGAATTTGACAATCGTAATCTATTCATTTATGAAAAATGCTTCGGACCCCCACTGGGGGGTCGACCCCCAGTGAGGTGGCGCGCCGTGATTGGACAAAAAAAAAATTGTTTTATTTTTTTTTTTTTTTTTTTTGAGTTTCAGCCAGTGAGAACTCGCCACCTCACTGGGGTGCGACCCCCACTGGGGTCTGCAGCATGATTGATTCATTTATTACTTTTGCCGTGAAATAAATAAATGATAATTTTATTTTTAATACTAAATCACCTATTTTTTTTGTAATAATGGCAATAAATATACAAAATATTTAATAAAATAATCTATCCGAATAAGACCCATAAAAATATTTAATAAAATAATCTATCCGAATAAGACCCATAAACTCTACGAACATAAACAGCGGCGGGAGGGAATCTGTCTCCGTCTATTATCTGGTGGGAGGGAATCTGTCTCCATCTATTATCAATTTTCTTTAGGAAAATGTTTGAGGGCCCGAAATGTCTGGCTCGAATGTGGCTCGAAATTTTTTATTTTTTTTTTCTTTTGTTCTGCCATTTTCGACCTGCAGAGCTCAAATTCGAGAGGGAGAAAGAGAGAGAGGGAGAAAGAGAGAGGAGATGAGAGAGGGAAACAGAGAGAGAGAGAGAGAGGGAGAGAAGCTCCGTCGTCGCAGCAGCTCGGCCGATCGTCGGCCGATCGCAACTCTCCGTCGCAGCTCGGCCTAGCGTCGGCCGATCGCAGCAGCTCTCCGCCGCGCCTTCGCCCCTGGTTGATGGCCCTTTCACAAACATTACATCCAATTACAAAAAAAAAAAAAATCTAACTATTTTCTAAATATAAAAATTTTAACTTATTAAAATAGTCAAAAATTAAAATAACCTACTAAAATAACAATCTCTCAAACACCCACTATGCCAAACCAGTGCTTTAAAATTATAACTTTTCTTTTGGATAAGATTTTCAAAACAAAATTTCTAGTTCTAAATTATTCTTTTCCCGATGAAATATATTATCTTAATGTTGTGCTTGGTTGAAAGATTTATGAAAGAAATGGAAAGGGAACATGAAATAGAAAGAAAAGTAGAAAGAGTTAATCAGTGTATTTAGTTTCAGTTTTTTGAATTCAGTTTTCTGAAAATCAAGATTTTTATTTTTCGTGATTTTTTTATTTTTAGTGAATATTTTTTAAATTTTAAGTAATTTTTTTACTTTTTTAGATGCATCTTCCTTAGATGTATCTAAATAGTAAAATATTTGTGAAAAAATATTTTAAAAAATTAATAAATATACAAAAATATGAAAAATGTACTGAATTTTTATTTTTATATATATATAATTTTTTGGTATTTAGTGTATTTTGTAAAAAAAATTTCACAAATATTATACTTTTTAAGTGTATTTATGTTCAGTGTGTCTAAAAATTAAAAAAATTGGTTAAAATATTAAAAAAATTCATTAAAACATTAAAGTACAGAAAATAAAAAATAAAATTTTCTGAAAACTATAACAAAACAAGTTGATAAGATTTCAATTACAAACTATGTTTGGTTAAGTTGAGAAATGAAAAAAGAGAAGAGCCTAACACAGTATTTGACTGGAAAATTTGAAAAAAAAAAAAGAAAAAGAAAAAAGGGTGTGTGAATTCAAATCCCTACTTTTTTTCCTTTTCATTTTAAAATGCCTTTTTAAGGTCTCGTTTGACAGCCTTCACTTTTAGCTAAAATATCACAAAGTCACTATAAATTATGGCAGAGTAATGTTAGAGAACCAAAAATTATACCAAAAGTTGGAATGTTAGAGAACCAAAAATTTTATCAAAAATTTTACCAAATGTCTCATATGGCGTGAGACCCACGTCATATGACCATATGAGACATTTAATAAAAAATTTGATAAATTTTTTAAAATTTCTAATATTTTTTACTATCACATCGCTCTCTCTATTTATTCCATATTATTTTATTAAAACAAAAAAAAAATTACTAAAATAAACTATTTTCAAACGAAATCTAAATCGCTCGACTGACTACAGCGTAACCAATCAATCAAATTTCCCAATAGTATATTATAGTCTGATGATGTTCATTCAAGTACAAGCCACCACAAACACAACCAACCATTCCTATCATCCCACACCATGCTTCAAAAGCTAACCACCCTCTTCTCTGAACCCTATTCATGGTGGTTTCAAACCACCACCACCACCACCACCTCCCTCCCCTTCCTCCTCCTCACCACCACCCTCCTCCTCCTCCTCTCCCTCTCCTGGTTCTTATACCTCAAACCCACAACCCCTGACCCCCCACTACCACCAGGCCCTCTCGGCCTCCCAATCCTCGGCAGCCTCCCATTCCTCGACCCAGAACTCCACACCCACTTCTCCACCCTCTCTCAAACCCACGGCCCCATCCTCACTCTCCGCCTCGGCACCAAAATCGGCATCGTAATCTCCTCCCCTTCCATCTCCCGCCAAATCCTCAAAGACCATGACGTCACCTTTGCCAACCGTGACGTCCCCGTCGCCGGCCGTGAGGCGGCGTACGGCGGTTCCGACATCGTCTGGACTCCGTACGGACCCGAGTGGCGGATGCTGAGAAAAGTCTGCGTCCGCGAAATGCTCAGCAACGCCACCTTAGACTCCGTCTACGGCCTCCGCCGCCGTGAGCTCCGGCGGACTATCCAGTACTTTTATAGTCGGGTCGGATCGCGGGTCAACGTTGGGGAGCAGATGTTTTTGACGGTGATGAATGTGATAACGAATATGTTGTGGGGAGGGACGGTGAAGGGGGAGGAGAGGGGGAAGATGGGGGCGGAGTTCCGGCAGGTGGTGGCTGAGATGACGGAGCTGTTGGGGAAGCCCAATTTGTCAGACTTTTTTCCGGGTTTGGCCCGGTTTGATTTGCAGGGGGTACAGAAGCAGATGAAGGGGTTGGCGAAGAGGTTTGATCGGATTTTCGAGAATATAATTGATCAAAGGCTGAAAATGGACGGTCATGGAAGTGGAACCGCCGAGGAGAGTGCCGATTTTTTGCAGTTTTTGTTGAAGCTGAAAGACGACGGAGACGCCAAAACGCCTCTCACCATCACCCACCTCAAAGCCTTGCTAATGGTATGTTAGTTTTCGGATATGTTTTCGTCACTTTCAATTAACTCAATTTTAATTATTAATTTTAAATTTTATGTTAGTTGGATTCATCTGATAATGTATTATTGTTTATTTTTATTTTTTTATAATTTTTTTTTGCTGAATTAGTTACGTTAAACTCACGGAATTGAATAAACTTATAATATTATTTCTAAAAATCATAATATATATAGGGTTCGTTTAGAATGTGAGTTGATTTTTTAATTTTTTAATTATTTTAATTTGGAGATAAAAAGTTTCGTCTAAAATTAATTTTTTAATTTTTTTAAATTTTTGTGAAAAAAAAAATAAAATGATTATAGATTGAATGTGACATTTTGTCATATTTGACTAAAATAATTTATTTTGTCTTATATGACTATTTTAACCCTAATGGAACATCCCAAACGAGCACATAATTTTTGTACGTATTTTTTATTAAAAAATGTTACTCATTTCGGCTCAAAATAATAATTCATTTTGAAGAATTTAATTTTTTTAATAGTATAATTATTACATTTTAAAAACATTAATTTTTCAAAATTAACCTCTCATAGTATTTTTTTTTTTTGAGAATATCAATGATCATAATGGTACTTTTTGTGTTATTAATAAATTTTAAAAAATGACAACATATAAATTTATATTATTTTTATTCTTTAATTTTTGAATAGTATTTTTTTTTTTTTGAGAATATCAATGATCATAATGGTACTTTTTGTGTTATTAATAAATTTTAAAAAATGACAACATATAAATTTATATTATTTTTATTCTTTAATTTTTGAAAATAGATTAATATTTTAAAATAATAAAAAATAAAATAAAAAATTAATATTTTAAGACGAAAAGAATAACAATTATAATTAATTAAACAAAATTGAGATACATTATAAATCTAAAATCAAAATCAACTTAATTAAAATTATAAAACTGAAATGAAACAATAATAAAAAATACAGAACTATGGACAAATTTCGTTGATTCTTTCTTCAAAGCCCGTGGGTGGGTCCACTATGGCCCTATTTTGATGGTTTAATCAATTTATTTTTTAGTTTGTCGTATTTAGATCACTTCACTTAATTAGCTAATTTTATTAATAATTAAAAAAAAAAACTAAAACTATCTATTTTTATTTTATTATATTTTTTGACGGTTTAGATACATATCATCTTTTGACATTTGAAAAATTACATTAAATTTTGTCATTATAATTATTTAGATAGAATGAAAATATTGAACTCATCTATTCTTTTTTTTCTGACATTTGAAAAATTACATTAATTTCTTGTCATTATAATATTTTAGATAGAATGAAAATATTGAACTCATCTATTCTCTTTTTTCTTACTTTGTTTTATCTTTGTTTTTTTTTTTCTTTTCCTTTGCTTTATTTTTTTTTTTAATGTAATTTTTTCTATTTTTCTATTAAGAGTTATATTGTCTTTTATATAAAAAGAATTGTGAAATGAGATTATTAAACACAAAGGATGGAATTATAATTTCTAAAATATCAAGTAGTAAAATATAATTATAATTTACTGAATTTTTTTTGTGGATAAGCTTGAGATACAGTAAGTGTAGAACCTATAGTGAGATGGCGAGCCCCCAACAAGATCAGTCTCCAGTCCGCAAGCCAACCTTTTCCTTTACTCTAGCTTCAATTATTTTGACATGTCTATTCACCATTATTATTGATTGCATATGGGCAACTCATCGAAGAAAATTGTTGTTATCTTACTATCTTTTTGAAAATTACTTTTTAATCACTATCTATGTAAATATATATGATTGTCATATTTGAAAACAAATAATTTAAAATATAATGTTTACAAAATAAATTGAATATATATAGGATTAATTACATTTTAACCCTTATAATTTAATTTTAAAACACATTACTCTTTTCAAGTTTAAAAATATATACGTAACCTCCTTGTATTTTGAGGTAAGGTGCACAATTTAACTCTGTTAATAATTTTTGCACCAAGTCAATATTACCGTCGTTTTTATTTTCAATTTTCTTACCATGCCACTACTATCATAACTTTCTCTCTCTCAAATTGGACTTACCTACCCACCCCTCCCAACAACACTACATCATCTTCTCGGTCATTACAAGGCACCAATTACTTCTCACAACAATCCATTCCCTTTAACAATGTTTCTCTTCTCACGCAAGACATTCACTCCAAAGTAGCCATCACCACCAACTTGTGTTATATATATATATACTAGCATATGTTCACTACAAGAAAAAACAGTGTCTGAAAACACAATAAATAATATTAAGATTATAATATAATTGTAATTCAAATACTATTTAAATTTATTTTTTAATTTGATAAAATCTCAAATTTATTATAAAATTTTGAAATTCTCACAAAACTCCTCACAAAACGCGTTTTTGCTTATATAATATATAGCTAAATAGATAAATGTGCCTAGTATATATATAATTTTCACGAACATACATACAATACTGCTTTTACTTATATAATCATATGTAAATTGTATGTATGTCCGTAATGCCCTAGTGTATTACGGGCATACATACATTATATAAAAATATGTGTAAAATATATTGAACAAAAAGGAGAAAATAAAAAAAAAATAAAAAACAAATAGAGAGAAAAATAAAAACGGGAGAAAATAAAATAAAAAAAAAGAGAGAGAAAGGCGGAATCATGAGATTATGGAAGGAGGGGTGTGAGAAAAGGAAAAAATAAGAGCGAAAAGCAAGAAAGTAGAAAATGTATATTTAGAACATTTTTTGGAAAATAAATCTCAGCTATCGTTTTATAATTTGAACAGATCTGAGCCTTCCATATTTCTTAATAGGACAAAAATATTTTGAAGATTCAAAAACCGTCTTGCTTTATTAAAATATGTTGAAGATTCATATGAGGTCTAAATTTACGAAGTATATCATGTATTCAATATATTTAAAATTAATAATTAATTGTTCAAATTCATTTAATTTGTGCACTAAAAAATTAATTAATATAATCTCTACTACCCACAGTAAAATTTAGCTCCTAATTCTAGGATCGCAGACTTTTTTATATAATATAAATAAAAATAAGTGATCAAAAATGAGAAAAAAAAATAGAGAGAAAAATAAAAATGATAGAAAATAAAAAAATAATAAAAAGAAAAGAGAGAGGAATGTAGGATCATGGGATCATAGAAGGATAGATGAGAAAAGGAAAAAGTAAGAGAGAAGTACAAAAATAGAAAAATATACATGTAGGATATTTTTTGAAAAATATATCTCAGCCGTTGTTTTATAATTTGAATAGATCTGAGTCGTCCAAATGTCCTAGTAGGACAAATTCAAAAATTATCTTGCTTTATTATATACATGTTGAAAATTTATATGAGATCTAAATTTACGAAGTATATCAAGTATTCAATATATTTAAAAATAATAATTAATTGTTCAAATTTATTTAATTTGTGCACTAAAAATAACCTCCACTACACAACAAAATTTGGATCCTAATTCTGAGATTGCAGACTTTTTCATATAATAAAAATAAAAATAAGTGATCAAAAAGGAGAAAAAAAAAACAAATAGAGAGAAAAATAAAAATGATAGAAAATAAAAAAAATAAAGAGAAAAGAGAAAGGAAGGTGGGATCATGGGATTATATAAGGGAATCAGGATCCCCTCCTTGCATTTTCTACTTGCAAGCCCATTGGGCCCACTTTTAGGCCCAATTTTGATAATTCGAACCGTACATATTTTAAGATTTGTTCAGTATATCTTACCTGTAAAAAATCAAGTTGATCGGATATCAGAAAGCATGTGTTCGGAAAACTTGAACTAAAAACTATTTTTTTAAAGAATTTAATAAACAATTTTTCGAACACATGTTTTCTAATATCCGATTAACTTGATTTTTTACAGGTATGATATACTGAACAAGTCTTAAACTATGACCGGTTCGGATTATCAAAATTGAGCCTAAAAGTGGGCCCAATAGGCTTGCAAGTAGAAAATGTAAGGAGGGGATCTTGATTCCATATAAAGATATGTGAGAAAAGGAAAAAGTAAGAGAGAGAAGCGAGAAAATAGAAAATGTACATGTAGGATATTTTTTGAAAAATATATCTCAGCCGTTGTTTTATAATTTGAATAGATCTGAACAGTTCAATATCCTAGTAGGACAAATGCGTGTAAGACAAATTCAAAAACCATCATGCTTTATTATATAGATATTGAAGATTTATATAAGTTCTAAATTTATGAAATTTATCAGGTATTCAATATATTTAAAAATAATAGTTAATTATTCAAATTCGTTAAATTTGTGGATTATAAAATTCATTAATTTAATCTCCACTATACACAATAAAATCTAGCTCCTAATTCAGGGATCGTAGACTTTAACATATAATACGAATAAAAATAAGTGAACAAAAAAGAGAAAAAAAAAAAAACGAATAGAGAAAAAAATAAAAATGGGAGAAAATAAAAAAAATAAATAAAAAGAAAAGAGAGAGATCATGAGATCATGGAAGGATGTGTGAGAAAAGGAAAAAGTAAGAGAGAGAAGCGGAAAAATAGAAAATGTATATGTAGGATATTTTTTGAAAAATATATCTTAGCCATTGTTTTATAATTTGAATAGATCTAAGCCGTCCATATGTCCTAGTAGGACAAATGTGTGTAGGACAAATTCAAAAATCATCTTGTTTTATTATATAGATATTTATATACAAATTTGTGTGTGTGTATATAATTTTTTTTCCTTCCGGTAAACCTATTGATGCTATTAATTTTGTCAAATTATTTTGCTATTTGCATTATGAAGCCTTGACTAAAATACTGTTAGAAATATATGATGATGCGGAGGTATTCTGTTTGGTCTGAAAATTTGAATGATTCAAAAATAATTTAACAAATTATAATTTGTACACAACAAAAATTAAGAACTTACAGACAATATATGCAATACTAAGAACAATGAAGAAGTGGGAACCTGAAAACAGAGCAAAATTCCGAAGAATTTGACTCTAAATCGATTCTAATTTCAAAATTATTTTTTTTGGTAATTCAAATTCAATTCAACTCCTGGATGAGTGAGGTATTTAGAGGCTTCAAGATGGAAGTTCGAACAGACACAAACTTGTTCGAATTTCGGCAATTCAACTTTGAGAATCTGCCTGAAATACATTAAACTCATTGTCCTAATTTCGGCAATTGTAGTGACCTTTACCAAATCAAAAGGAAATCATGAGAAGTGATGACAGTAGTGCTTCGATGAGAGGGGATGTGGCCAACGGTTGTGTGGCGGTGGTGTTAAGAGCAATGGTGGTTCTGGGTTGGGTTCTTCATGATGATGGGTAATAAATAATAAGTTGTTGGTGAGATAACAAGGAGATGAGGGCATTACAATAATGTTGATTGCAAATTATATCCTAAACATTGTTACCACGCGTGCTGTTTGGTATAGCTGTTAAAACAGATTATAGATTATAGCTTAACAGATTATAGATTATGACTTTAATCAGAAGCTGTTAATCTGTTTGGTATAACTGTTGGATTATAGATTTAAGTTGCTGAGTAATGTTTGTTAAATAAGCTGTGAAGTAACTTTTTCAATTAATTTTTATTTTTTATTATTCACTATTTGTCTACATTTCTCATAAAAAATAATAATAATATTTTATAGTCCATTTGGGTTTTTTTCTATTTTTAAAAAAATAAAAAATAAAAAATAAAAAAATTTAAGAGTATAACCGTAAATTAACATGTTCACAGCAGAAACTGATAATCAGAAGCAAGGGGTGAGCAGTTTCTCAGAATCAGCTTTTTTGACTAAAAATAAGTTGTTAGAATCAGAAGCTGTTTGAAATAAGTTTAAGCAAACAGTCCGAAATAACTTTTTTAAAAACTAGAAGGCATAAGTTGGCTCAAAAAAGCTCCACCAAACACCTCCAATGTTGAGTTACACACATTGTTATTTGTAACAATTTCTGTTAGTTTTACATTTTACTCCAAATCATGAGGAGTTTGTGTATATTTTTAAACTTGAAGGGGGTAATGTGTTTTTGAGTTAAATCACAAGGGATAAAATGTAATTAACCCATATATATAGTGAATGATTATGTGCAATACAGTTTAATTTCATTTATTTAACTACAATGACGTGTCATTATTCTATTATTGTCAAAAGAAATATAGAGAATAAAATTTAGACCCTTTATTTTTTATGATTTTTTTTTACTATCTACTCAGAATTATGATATACGTCTCGATGTCATTGTGGGTAGCCGATAGAAAATGAATAGAAAATAGTGTAGGCATAGAAAAATTCAAACATAAGTTTTAAGCAAAGATAAGTTTAGATACACCAATCCCATAACATATGATGATGGAATGGAGTCTGTTAATGTACACTAAACCTAACCCACTAACCTAACCCACTACATCCACTCCACTAAACCTAACACACTTACCATCTCCACTACCACCCACCACCTCCACTACCATCCACTACCACCACTCACCTACCTCACACCTCTCCTATATAATAGCTTGTAATATACAAAATCTATATACAACAATCTTGTAATATATCAATCAACAACATTCAATATCAATCAATATATACACAATTTATTTTCTCTCTCTCTATCAATTTATCTTACAGAGTCCATCATCAGTGTGAGAAACTATAGTTTATTGGTGTGTTGTTGAAATTTTAAATTAATTGTGAGCAGAAAAGTAGTTGTAAATGTTTCTGCCTAAGTTCACATGTTTATCATTGAAACACAAATGCAAAATCTTTTAAAACAATATAATAAAGTGTTGTTAGCATTGTATTCATCTTGGCAGACTATGAACTCCATCCAAAATGAATGCACATTATGTGCGTCTTTTTTTCTTTTTCATTTTTTTTAAAAAAAAAAAAAATTGTATTGTTATTATATTGAAAGTAATCATCAATTCAGTTCAGACATGAACGACATGATTGTCACAATTGTTCTAAATTTAGTATATTTTTGAAATGTGGTATGTTTTTTTGGACAGGACATGGTTGTCGGAGGAACAGACACAACCTCAAACACAGTTGAGTTTGCCTTGGCCGAGATGATGAACAAGTCACAAGTTCTGAGAAAAGCCCAACAAGAAGTTGAGACAGTAGTTGGCAAAGACAACATAGTGGAAGAATCGCACATTCATAAATTACCCTACTTATACGCGGTGATGAAAGAGACTCTGCGCCTCCACCCCGCCCTGCCGCTCTTGGTGCCTCACTGCCCCACTGAGTCCTGCATTGTCGGAGGCTACACTATTCCCAAAGGTGCTCGTGTTTTTGTTAATGTGTGGGCTGTGCATAGAGACCCTTCAATTTGGACAAACCCATTGGAGTTTGATCCAGAGCGGTTTTTGGGGGATTCTAAGTGGGATTATAGTGGGAATGACTTCAATTATTTCCCATTTGGGTCCGGGAGAAGAATTTGTGCAGGGACTGCAATGGCGGAGAGGATGTTCATGTTTTCGCTTGCTTCGCTTGTGCACTCTTTTGATTGGAAATTGCCTGAAGGAGAGAAATTGGATTTGGAAGAGAAGTTTGGTATTGTGTTGAAGAAGAAGGTACCTCTTGTTGCAATCCCAACGCCGAGGTTATCTGACCCAATGCTATATGAGTAAAATCCAGAGAAGATTGTTACTAAAAAAAAGAAAATAAAATAAAAAGGTTCTGGTGGTTGATGTAGGTTCCATGTTTGGAATGAAAGTCCCAGGATGATGCAATTGCATGTTGTATTAATTACCCAAAAGTTGAGAACTTTATGTTCATTTTTTTTTTCCCTAAATGAATTGCTGATTGTCCAATGCCTTTGTAAACAGACTTTTCTTTGAAATTAATGTGCATTTCAAATACTAAAGTGTTGTTATTTTGTTAGACCATGTCACATTAGTTTATTCAAAAAATAATAATAAAACTTGAAATTTGTGTGAAGTCAATCTAATCAGTTTTAGGAAAAGCTTGTTGCACATTGTTTTCTTCGAACCATCTAAACTTGGTTCAGAGGTCTTTCCATCTATTATTACCGATTGGTTTTGGGATTGAACATCTCCAAATATTTTGTATCAAAATTAGATCTAGGGTGCTCTTAAGATAACTCTCAATCTAAGTCTATTTTTCTCATCTCATATAATATATTTTTTAGACAGAATATGTATTCAAACTTGTCTTGACTTGGGAAGTTTTAAAAATTAAAAAGGAAAAAATGAGAAGCAATTGATTCATTATAAAGATTCCATCTAGAAAATTATTACGTAATGCCATTACAATTTATGATGATTTTGATCTTGACAAATAAATTACTAGCTCAAATGCAAACTATGCTAGTAGATGATCGCAATCAACGCAGGGTATTTTATTTTTTATTTTTTTGTGTCATATGTGCTTGGCATATATATCATGTGTTATTATCTTTTTGGACACATTAATGTTCTTAATCAACATGGCCTGTTATTATCCATTTTAAAACATGGAACCAATTATAGGGCCAAGATGTAATGTTAGTGAGTATTGTCATATGTTGAACAATTTGGAACTGGTAAGCCAAGGAGGGAAATAAATCATACCTGAACATACCTTTCGCATGGTCTGTTCCATTTATTTTGTTCACTCATTATCATTTGGTTTTGAATTTTATGTTTTTAAATTTTTTTACAAGATATCAGAATTCATTCTTTGGTGATTTAATTTAATCGGCCACAACACCTACACCGTAATAATAAGATGAAAATTGTTAAGGATCTCAAAAAATTTATTACTAACATTTCTTTGTCTTATAATGGTGGAGGGTTCACACCTATGTGGGACCCACATACATATAACACATTTAATAGAAATACTGATAAATCTCTTAGTGTCTCTAGCCTTACTCATAAATAGTTTTTCTATTTGTACATAAATTAATTACAGAATTAAATACAACCTATTGTACCTAGGTGTGAGATCCACAAAATATGTGAAAAAATTATAGTTTTATGATTGATTTATGGGATCTTAGAATCTTTTTATTTTTAAATAAATAGCACTTCATCTGAAGATAACCTAATAACCTCATACCTTTGTTTGTGTGATCTTTTTATTTTTATTTTTTACCACACGGAGAATGTCTTTGACTCGATTATATAATCGTATAATAGAAAAGTGCGTTAGTACAAAGAAGAGGGGAGATCAGAGGATCCCTTGCTAACCAATACAATTGAATTCATATTGTAACTCAATGCCAAACTTGATTTAATAAGCTATAATAACACATTAATAAAAATGTTACGAAAAATTGTGAGAGTCGTTACCAGTGGTCTAGTAAACACTGCAGGAAATTCAACTTTTAGTGGCGTTTAAAAAACGCCGCTAAAAGTGTCAAAACACCGCCAATTCTTTTTGTGATGCTTAGCACCAAACGCCGAGGACGCGGCCGTCGCTTTAGCTTTATGACGTTTTAAAAACGTCGTGATATTAGTATAAAAACGCCGCCAAATGTCCTCCTAAACACACGCTGACGTCACTGACGATATTTAGCAACATTTTGGAAAAACGCCGTCATATCTTTTTTTAAAAATATGACCGTTAGTATGTAGGGTTTAAGAGGCGTTTATAGAAACGCCGTCATATCCTTTTTTTTTTTTTGAAATTGTGCTAATTTTATTTGATTGAACTAAAAAAATATCTATAATAGCACTAATATAAAATAATAACTTCCATTCAAATAGCTGTAATGAAGCATTAATTCACTTTCTCATTCAATTAATATCCAATCACCATTACCCATAAAATTAACATATCCAAAATCCAAAAATCATGTTTTAACATTAACCACAAACTAACATATATCAAAAAATCATGTCTTAATATTAACCACAAACTAACATATATTCAAAAATCATGTCTTAGCATTAAAGTTGTAGTCTTCACTGGTCTACATGCCTGCATCAGAACATAAACTGCAATCAGATTCACCAAAATAAACACAAATTGAAGAATTTGTACCCAATACTTATAAACAGTACTTAAAACTTGAAGAAGCACAAACAAGAATATTTTAACACATACCAAGAAGCACTAAATACATATAAAGAAAAAATAAAAATAAAAAAGCTATTGATTTGTATCTCTCCCAAATAAATAAGTAAGTTGATTTGTAGCATGTTGTACCAATGTATGTCAAATTAGGCAAGACTTCTCAAGGGTCTTTAACATATTTTTTCTTTTAGAATGTGTGTAACCTTATCAAATTGAGATTTGCCATCACATACAAATTCAAATTTGAATCCAACCAAAAATCAGGGCCAATGTTGAACAGGTCTATGATGAACAAATCTAGACCTTTAATTGACAACAAACCAAGCTCAATTTATGGAGAAGCCTCTGATAGATAATAGAAGATACGATCAATTTGTTCCTGCAACATGTTAAATGATCAGACTATTATTGAACTGGCCCAAGGTATTGATTTGATAGGTTAGGCCGGTGCTAATTCCATTGCTTGAAAATAAAGCAGATTCACATACATGGATAACATTCAGTTCAAGAATGTTCAAGTTTTATATGCCTTTGTTTCTTCTAATCAAATGACAAAAGCTTCAGTGTTGCCACAACAATATTCAAATAAAAATCATCATCAAGTTACAACATTTTGTGGTCCCACAAATTGGGCATCAAATGAATACTGATGCAACATGTCTATGGCATATATAATCCTCACCTAAGTCAAGAAATTACAATAATTTTAATAGAAAATTAAAATTACCATTGAAATCTTACCTTCTCTGTATTCTTCTTATTATTGCTAACCACAAGCTATACATATATATACATATGAAATTAATAAATGCATGCCCTTACATAACCCACCAAAAAATATAATGTCCTTTTAAGGTTCTATCTTGAGTTTGTTTGAACGATAAACATTAAGTTCAAATAGAAGCGAATGCAATTTGGTTCCATATCCAGTTTCATCAATGTCAACAAGTGCAAAACCATTTATAACAAGAGATTATTATTCATAAACCCCCACTTTCTAAAAACAAATGGCAACACAAATAGTATGACCAACGACCATAAACATTCTTCAATATGAATTGAACAACTCAGAGAAATAAACAAAATGGGAAAGACTTTTGGTAATTAATTAGTACCTTCACAGAGACAACCCCATTGGCCAACCTTTGAAGACAACACATAATTGAGCAAGGACGAAGCAGTAGCAGAGTGAGGCGGCATCAATGACTCTCCACAACCCAACTCCACTGGCAACCTACTACATTGACCATTGACAGCCCCAAATCTATGATCAGTCACATAATTACCAAAGACCCTCTTCAAAAAACAACCACCCCATTCACATATACAAATGTGTACCTGGTGGAGAAGAAGGAACGGTGGCGGCGAGAGACGCGTGAGGGAGGAGCAGAATTTGAGAAGGGTGCGAGTCCACCGAGGTTAGATGGCAATTGGGTTCGACTTTTGCGACACAGGAAGGCTTTAGCGGACGATGTTGACCTCTGAAATAGCCTTCTTGCAGAGTCGGTCGCCATTTTTGTCCCTTGCTCAACTCTCCTCCCCTCTGATGTTAGTACTCTATCCCCAACATAAAGAATTATTCTAGTTTTTCTAGTGCCACTACAACAAAAGTAACCTATGGTGACAAAAACTAGTGAAGAAAATAAAATTCGTCACTAAATAAAAATAATTCGTGAGGAATTGATAAATTTTGTCACATATAATAAAAAAATAAAAATGATAGGTGACAAAAAAAAATTTCGTCAATAAATATTTCATTTTAAGTGAGAAAAAATTAAATTTCATCACAAAAAAATTTCCCGCTATTTTTTTTGGGTGGAGCCAAAAGTTTGGGACTTTTGGTGAGAAAAAAAATTTGTCACTAATTATAAAATTATTTGTGAGGAATATATTTTTGTCACCAAAATATTTTAATATTTTTGATATCTTTTGGTGAGGAAATAATATTGTCACCAATTTCGGTAGAAATTTTTTGATATATTGAGCGGCAATAAGAAAAAAAGGGTTATTAATTTTTTTAACCCTTTTTCTGTTTATCCTCTCTCTCTTTCTCTCTCTCTCAAAATAGGGTATTAATTTGTCTTAGCTCTTGCTCCTCCACCACGCCGATCGCCATCGTCGCCTCTATTAGCCTTGCCGATCGTCGCTGCCACTAGTAGCCTTGCCGGTAATCGCCATATCTTCTTTGCTCGGTGATTTGGTACGTGATTTCTCTTTGCTCTTTTTCTGGTGTCTCTTTCTTTTATTCTCTGTTTTGGTATGGTGACGAAAATTAGTGAAGAAAACAAATTTCGTCACTAAATAAGAATAATCCATGAGGAATTATAAATTTTGTCACGTATAATAAAAAAATAAAAATAATAGGTGACGAAATCTATTTCCATCAATAAATACTTACTTTTAGGTGAGAAAAAAAATAAGTTTCGTCACCTAAATTTTTCCCACTATTTTTTTTTTATGGTGCCAAAATTTCGACACTTTTGGTGAGAAATTTTTTTTTCAACAATTAAAAAATTATTAACGAGGAATATATTTGCGTCACCAATAATCTAATTTTTATTTTTTATTTTGAAAAACTTGATTTTAAATATTTTAAGACCATTTGGTGAGAAATATATTTTCGTCACTAATAATTTTTAATATTTGTAGGCTTTTTAATGAGAAAATTATTTTGTCACTAATTTTGAAAGAAAAATTTTGACATATTAAGCGGTAATAAAAAAATAGTACATTATTTTTCCCTTCCTCCTTTTTTTTTTTGGATCAGTTTTCCTAGATTATTTTTCCCTCCCTTTTTTGTTGTTGTTGTTGTTGTTTTTTTTTTTTTTTTTTTTTTTTTTGATCAGTCTTGGTATCAGTCTCTATCTCTATCCGTCTCTCCCTCTCAAAACAAAACACAATTGCTGGGTGTTTTGTTTATTGACGAATCAGTTTTCTTATCAATCTCTATCTCTCCCCCTCTCACTCTCCCTCTCAAAACACGAGTGCTGTGTGTTCTTGTAATAACCCACATTCATGTCTTAGTCATGTTCATGTACATTTGCATGATTTTGTCTTGTTAAGCTTGCATTTGCAGACTTTGACTTGTTTTGGCTAAGTAAGGTACCTGCCTTGTTTTGTGACTATGTGAATTGCATAAGTGTTATGTGCATGCTTGTTTCCTTCCTTGGTGTCTCAAGCCTAGGTTATGTTAAGCCTAGATCATTCCAAGCCGAGGTCATCTTCAGTCTAGAAGTATCTTGGAACCCCTTCGTTTGACCTCCACCTTTGCTTTGACATATTGGCCGAGATGTCATTGTCTAGGCCGAGGTGTGCATCACCAAGGCCGAGATGTGTATTATCTAGGCCGAGATGTTACCTTTGCACCTGAGCGACCTTGTCCTGGAGTGGTATGACCTAGACCGAGGTGTGGCACAGCTTAGTCAAGTGTTGTCCTTCCTAGCCGAGGTCATTGTCACCTTAGTTGCCGAAGCCTTGTCCTTAGCCGATGTCACCACTTGCTGAAGTGCCATTCCGAGTAACTTGTTAGATACGCTTTGTCATTGCCTTGTCTTGTCAATCTATCACCTTTTTGAAGAGAACCAATCGGCCGTTGCCACGTGTCCGAGCTGAGAGTTAAGTCAGCCGATAGAGAGAGAGAACCCATCATTTGTTGTATCTTTGTTTTGAAGAGGAGAGAGAAGCTCTAGGAGAGGAAGAAGAGTTCTTGAGAGAGAGTGGATTTCTAAGCTTGATCCCTAGAGATCGAACCGTTAGATTCGTGTTCTAAGGTTAGATTCTTGATCCGCTCTTGTCATTCTTTATGTTTATGTTATTGCATTGCATGATTGAATATGATTTGTAAGCCATGCATTGCTTTGAAGTTCGGTTTTAGAAAGAGAAAATGGCATTCATGTGTTCTTCAAGAAAAGTCATGTTTTGATCCGAAGGCTCATGCCTAGATCCATGTTTTTGTGTTTGTTTTCGCATGATTTTTAAGTATGGGTACCCAGGTCCATGTTTTTGAACTCATAGCATGAAATCCCAGATTTTGTAACAAAGAGGTTATGATTTTAGCATCCATGTTCTTCATGATCTTCATGTTCATGTTCTTCCTGTTCTTCACGGGTGGAAACCCAGATCTCCAGACTTCACTTCCCGAGGTGTAGTCGCCGAGATCACTCTCACCTAGACCTCACACTTAGGCCAAGCATCGTATCTCACCTTGGCTTACTTTGCATGACCACTTACACCTTGGTTTGTTTTGTGTACACCCTGGTGTGCAGCCGCATGCCGAAGCCTAGGTAGGCACACCTCGGCCGGGAGGTGTGGGACCTCGGCAAAGACCCAGTTGGTACCCAGCATGTCTCCCTGACATGTAAAACAGTGTTTTGACTTCTAGCATGTTTTCCCGAGATCATTTGCATGCATGTGAGACTTGTTTTGAGAAGTATGTTCAGTATGCTTGCCATGTGTTTGTAGGACTTGGACCTTTGCCTTGACCCCGACGTCCCAAGAACTAATGTGAGTAGTATTTTTAATAAAGTTATGTTCTTAAAGTTTTGATAAAGCTTTGCCTCATTTCGATAAAAGTATTTGTTAAGCATGAATGATATCCCTATTTTATGTATCAAGTATAAGCTTTGTTTTGAATGACAAGTTATCAAGTATAAGCTTTGTATTGAATGACAAGTTATCAAGTAAGCTTCGTTTTGATGACCCTCTCGGATAGTCCCTTGTGCTGGAGGACTCTAAACTTTCGCAGTACCAAGTATAAAAAGATACGGTCCTTTCTTGGAAAGACCATGATGTTAAAGCGGGCTACGGGCCTAAGTAACAGGAGCTCCATGATGTTAAAGCGGGCTACGGGCCTAAGTAACACGAGCTCCATGATGTTAAAGCGGGCTACGGGCCTAAGTAACACAAGTCCCTCGTGCTGGAAGGTTACGCCGAGGTTATGTTATAAGATTTGACGCATGTTACGTATGTAAGTTTTGCAAGATCGAGTTTGATGAACAAGATTTATCTCATGTTTTGTACAAGCTATGATATGTATGGTTTTGACAAGATATATTATGTACTGTTTTGAAAGACCTCGGGAATCATTCATTTAACCCCTTTATTACTTGTACCATTCACTGAGTATCCAAGCTCACCCTCCCTATGTATATATGTAGGTATCAAGCAAGAAGTCGGCTTCGCCGAGATGTGCATTTTGCAAGATGTTTTAGATGCATGTTATGTCGGCAATGTTTACGTCGGCAATTTTTGAAGCTTTTGTATTTGAACATGTCGGCTTGAGAGCCCTTTTGTTAAGATGTAATATGTATTGTGTACTTCATTTCTATTTGTATTCAAGTTGTAAAGCTATGTAAAGATGTATGCCATTTCATTTGACTTATGCACTGCTCTTATGGACTACTTGTATTTTAGATTATTGCTTCCGCACTTGTGAGCCCCCTATATCTGTACTCTGATTGTGTGTAGATTTTGGAAGTTGGCCTTCGGTAATGACGAATTACTGGCCATCACGGCACCAAACTACTAGGGGCGGTTTGGGGTCGTGACAGTTCTTCTCCAGCGCCGTCCCTGTTCTCCTCCTTCAGTGTCGCCACAGACGTCGTATCTCCTTTACTGCTGTGTGTTCTCTTCCATCAGGTATGGGTCCTCTTCTCTCTCTCCCCCTCTCTCTCTCTCACGCAATTTTTCTATTTTTCTATCTCTGTTTTTCCTAATTTTCAAAACTAATGTTTTCCCTAATTTTCGAAATTAATTTTCAGAATTAATGCTGTATTTTATTCTTTCCAGCAAGGTTTCTCTTCAATAAATTGTGAATGTGTAAATTGTAAACTTGGCCATCCTCAATGTCTTTTGCTTGTTTATGTTATAAACTTGAGAATGAATGTCATATTGATTATAATTAACAGTTTGAATTTAGTAAAAGCCCTTGACTAAATGTGAATATTTTATATTATTTGGATTGTTTGTCTGTATTTTTAATAAAATTAGGGTTCAACTCCTCTCTATATTTGAATGTTTGTTTAATATCTGTTTATTTTATAGGTTTTTCTACTTAGGTTATTAAAAAAAAAAATTTGATTACTTACATTATGATATTGATCGATTCCTTTGCTTCTGTGATCATCCTCCTGATTCTTCTTGGATACCATGCCTGGCAATTTAAGGATCCTTTTACATGCCTGATGCTCTGCTACTACCATTATTTCTTGCCTTTATTTTAGATGGCTGCGGGCATCTTATCTTTATTTTTTTATTTTTTTCAAATTGTGTATTTTTTTTTTTTTCAAATTGTTGATATAGTTTTGTACCCATTACATATTACGTTTTCTGGAATGGAGCTTAATTGGAAAGCTGTATGTGAAGATGAACAGAGAAAAGATTAAAAGAGATCTATTTTCTAGAATAAGAAGATGGAATGATTGAATAATTTAAAAATAAAAATAAATAACTGAATAATGTGTTGTTCTGTGCCCATTCCATGATATATATGTTTCTTTAGGATAAGTTTGAGAGATTCATTTCAATTTGAATGCAGAGCTTTCTCCAGTCTTTATCTCTGCTCATTTTCTTCTTGGTCTTCCTCTGTCTCCT